CACAGGTATTCAGGATCATCAACAGGAGATTCGTTGATACATCCGGGAGTTCGAGTTAGCTATGGTGAGCCTCCTTACTTTCAGAGGATTTTATTTACCTTGCAGTTATATCAGTTGTTAGGAGGTTGTGGGTCTTGTCCATATTTCCATCTTTATCAGTTAGAGGCATCATAGATAGACAGTAGAGTTTCAGAAGTCTTTTCATTTATTTTGTTAAATGTTTTGAAGACTAAAGATGCCTTTTTATAGCGAGTTGTATATATTTTATTATACAAAGTTTTCTTTTGAGTTAAAGATTTGTAAAGTTGAGTTCATGAACTTTTATTTCAGTTTTAAGCTTTTGCATGCTTAAGTTGGTCTTCTACTTGTAGTCAGCCATGATGAGGGTTCACTTGGGGACCATCAATGGTTCTTGAGTGCCGGCCACGTCCAGGGTGTAGACTCGGGTCGTGACAGTCTACATGTACATCATCCTCCCAGACATGAGCGGAACCACTTTAAGTGAAAGATAGTTTGGTGTATATTCTTGGCAACAATTTTTGTAGTGTACAAAGCTTAATTGCTTAGCTATTATGAATGTATATTTAATTTTGCACTTTAATATAACTGAGATTTTTTTTTACATATTTTTCATTAAATTTCTAATTACGTCACTATTTTTAAATTTACTTATATGAAATTACATTAAATATACGATTTTGCTGTTGATAGATATAGTTTAGAAATTAGGTCCCTTTCGATGGAGGGGACATCTCTATAACGTTAACAAGAATGCCCTTGGCATAGATAGGGGAAGAAAACAAATGGAGGAATCTACTTTAATTTAATTTAATTTAATTTTGTGACAATGCCTTCCACCAAACACCTTTAGGCTTGTTTGGTCGGAGAATAAGTTATTTTAAGATAAATAATTTTAAATTTATTGTTCTATCTTTAATATAAGATAAAATTAAAATAATACTATAATTTTGAGATAAATTATATGAATCAAATATAAGACAAACTCATGTTATATTAACTTTAAAATTAATTATTTCTTATTCGTCGTATCAAACGAGCACTCAGTTTTGAACATAACCACGACTAATATCCTCATTATATATAATATAGTTCAATATATTTAGTGTTTGGTTTCTCTTGTTTTATATAGTTAAGAAAGTTGCGTTTTCTCTCTTCTTTATTTCTTGCCTTTATATGCTTGCAATCTCTCCCTAATTAAAAAAAATAAATTATTTTTTGCATTTGAATACTTTTTTTTATCAAAAAAATCATATTATGTATTAACTTAGTGAAAATTCTATCTTTCGATCCACTGATTAACCCATTATATGGAAGCATGATACATAGGGAATAATTTAGACCTTTGTATCAATATAAATTCACTCTCATTTGATATTTATATCAAAATAGTAAATACGTGACATGTGTTATACGTTTTATTTCATTAATAACAATAGATCAGAGAACTTAGTGTTAATTCAAAGTTAATCAATCAGTTAATAATAGAGAGAAGCACTGAAAACACTTATGAACTTGATACAAATGATTAGATTTCTTCCTGAACTATTGACAGTCGTAATAACATTCTTCTACACTAACTAAACTTAAATACGATAGATAATTTGAGACGAATGAATCAGAGTATCAATCATTCAGAAGAGAACAATTTCCAAGAAAAATGTTCTTATCCAATTGATCACAAACAAAAATGTATGGAACAAGGAGTATATATATCTATATAGGTTAGGTCTAGCTTGTTAATTTCAGTGTTTCAGTAAAAGTCACAAGGCTAGATTTGGTTTTACCTTACTCCTAGGCACATTGTTTATTAAAAAAAAAGGCATAGATACTTACAAGAAAAACACACACACACACAAAGTCACAAGTGTGTATTGTGCAGGTGTTCACAGTTAATGGACATGTGAGTTTTTGCAGGGAAAAATATGAGTAAGAAAAAAACTATTTGCTTTTATGGTGTAGTACATTTTGGACTATGTGCAACACACATACGCAAAGTCTTTTTTTTTAAAAAAAAAAAAAATCGTATTCGCTTTAGAGTCTGACTAATTTGAAATCGTCTTGAGGATAATATTCTAGTTATTTAATGTAAACTTGAATGAGTTTTATTGGTATATAATGAAATTTGTTGAGGAGAAATGTACTTCATCGATCAAGGATAAATTTTTTGAATTTTATTATTAATGTGTGGACAATGCTACTCTTTCTAGATTAACTTTTGAGGTGTAAGTAAGGTCAAAGACTTCTGAGGTCTTGTGTGATAAGAAGGTACTATCTAAACAGAGTGGTGGTTAGACCAACATTGTTGCATCATGTATGAAGCAGAATACTGGTTAGTCAAGAACTTTCATGTCCAGAAGATACAAGTTGTGAAATTGAGGATGTTGAGATAGACGTGTAGTCACACTAGGAGATACAAGATTAGGAATGAGAATATTGACCATATACAAGGTGAGAGTGACCTCAGTGGTGGACAAGATGAGGGAAGAAAGATTGAGATGGTTAGGACAGGTGAAAAAGCGATGTGCATATTCTAAGTGAGAAGGTGCGAGAAAGTTGGATTGGTATGAGGAGAGCTAGAGGTAGGCTTAAAAAGTAATATGAAAAGAGGTGATTAAACAGTACGTGACACATATCTAGATTACTGATGACATGATCTTAGATAAGAGGATGTGGAGGTCGCGATTATGATAGAAGGTTAGCAGGTATGAAGTGTTGTTTTGCCTTATGAAGGGTTTGGTTGTATTCTTATAATATCTCACTTCTAATTCTATCATCATTTATTATTTATTGTGTTAAAATTATTGTACTATTCCATAGTTATTATTATTATCGCAAAATCTAAATTAATCGCACCTCAAAATGCGTACAGATGGTAAACTGAAAAAAAGTGCTAACTTTAATAAAAACACATAAAAGTTACCAATGAATTGAAATGCAAAAAGCTACGGCTATAAAAAAGGAACGCATATTTATAAAATTTCAATCATGTGGCACTTCTTTCCATATTGTTCCTTTTCTTTTTTTTTTATCATAATGTTTTGTCTTTTCCTTTTGTTCTTCTTTTTGAAATATATAAAATTGTAAGTCTGGTAAAAAAAATTCTTTAGGCAACTTTGGCCTAACAAATTCAATTAGTTTTTGGATAGTATTTGGAAAAAAAAAAGTTTCTATTTTTACAATCAAGTGTTCGAATGTCTGAAAAAAAAACATAACATGATATAAACGAATAATTTTTTGATAACAAATTATTTAACTCGATAAATGGAGGGAGAGCCCTCAACTCAAAACATAAGATAAAGTGGGTAAAAACTTACTCTCACCAATAATTTTGATAATTTATTGAACATTGATATGTTTAATTTTTAACATTATCAATTTAGTCGTACAGATTAACTAAGTGTATATATATATTTTTTAATTCAAATATATTATTATTTTCAAGATTTATCAAATTTGGTTATATTAAAGAAGTACACCTAAACCCAAGAGAAAACATTAAAAAAATTGTCTTTTTCAATGAAAGACACAAAACATAAGTTTATATAAATGTTCACACACAAGCATAGTGGCAGGCCAGATCTGAAAATAAAAGGCCTTTATCTCTAGCCAGGTTTTATTTAGCTAAAAATACAAATAAATTTCTATTATAATTTTTAATACGTCGAGAATGTAGTGGGATAGATAAGATCAATTTATTCTTAAATCAGAAATTTTGGGTTAAATTGGAAAATAAAAAAGATTCTCTTTCACTTAAATGGATTTTATACGATGTAAATTTGAATTAGGTGAACAGTGAATTTAATGAACTATAATAAGGTTAGGAAGAATCTAAGAAAATAGGTTCGTTCTGAGATTAAGTTACATGCATCGATAATGTAATAAATTCGCGTACTATTTAGTGAAGAGTTTGACATCGATCTTTTAAGAGGTGAATGGACTCTTTAATACAACTTGAATAATTCCCAGCTCTCGAATTAGCTTTTAAATTGATGAGTTAAGTCCAATTTTATTTTGTTTTTGATGTTTTTAAAATAAGATACGTCATTTGTTACAGAAAAATAAAAATATCTTAGTAGTATAAAAAAATCTTATTTATTTCAATGTAGTTTTGAATTATTGAAAATTAAATATGTTCTCCTAATCTTGTAAGGTGGCGTGTCGATTTGTTTTTTTGTTTCAAATCTTTGAAAAATATATTAATTGCAATTATAGTCTTCTATAAATTATGTACAACCTCAAAATATACCACAAATATTAAATAAATATTATGACAATTCATTAGGATTTGTAATCAAAATTCTGATAATTACTAAATATAACATATTGTGTTGATGCGTTTCCCAATTTGTTTAAACTTTTCTGGATATCAATGTAAAAATAAGATTAATTTAACCACTTTTAAAGCTAAATTAAAATATATTATTTATCAACCGACAATAATATTTAAATACTTAAAGACTACAAAAAAAAAATTAGAAATTTGTAAAATATATATATTCTTAAATTATGTAAAAATAAATTATTTAATCATAAAACTTGTCATTTAAAATATATTCTTTCATTTGTGTGGCTCTTAAAATGAGAAGCAAACATTTTCAAATTACTCATGTGTAATTCTCTTTAAATAGACTATTAAAATAATGTTCACATAGATTATAACAAAGAGGAAAAGCTCCTCTTTTGTCTCAAAACATTTTTTAAGAATCAAATAATTTAAATTTAATAAAAAATTTACTCATTAAATCTTCAAATTTTTATATGAAATTTACATATTTATAAATTACGTAAAAAATACTATAAGTCACAATAAATAATAGTTCAAATGTTCTAAAAAATATAAAAAAAATTACAATAAAAAATAGACTTGTTTGAATCTCGAAATTCGCCTGGATTGATGAAGTTTAACTTTTCATATCAAATAATTTAAAAGCATAATTATTAATTATGAATTACCATTTTCATTTTCCCTTCATGCATGGAAAAAGGATTATAAAATCATTCAAATATAGAATGCATGGTTATTTATACTTTTAGCCACTTTTATTTGCCATTACAAAGGAAGCTCTTTTTCTCTCCATAACCATTTTCTTGAATTCTTCTTCATCTCCTTTTTTTTTTTACCTCATCACCCCTACCACCCCCTTTCACACACCCCCCCCCCCCCCCCCACAACCCCCTCTTCACCTTGGGAAAAATCCAAAAACTTCCATCTTTTCACTTTGTTCCCATTAGGCCATTTTTTAACCACTATACAAAATTTGGTTCCATAAGACAATTTCCTCCTTTATTCATGATCAAGAAAGATGACTAGGAGTGTCTTTAAAGTTCCAATCTTCAGAACAGTACCATTGAAGTGTAGGAGCTTGTTCATCTGAGAAAAGAGTACTGCAAGATTCTTCGCCGTTGAAGAAATTATGTTCCTCCATCTTCACATACTGTGTTGTTGTTGTTGACGGAGGTTGATTAGTAAAACAATTAGCTTTTTGGGAATCTCCAAGAATTGACTTTGGACTTGATTCTGTGAACTTGAAGGTGAAATTCAACAAATTCGGAGATGAACAACCAACCCCACCATCAGTAGAGATCAAGAATGCACCAGACGATGAAATTGCAGCAGCATTTGGACTGTTATCTTCATTCAAGATTGCACTTGAGTTGTCACTATCTGAGGAACCATCTTTGTTAAAATCAGCAAAAATGGTGGATGCAATAGTAGCATTGATCTCGACATCATCATCTTGATCTTGATCTTCTTCTTCAAGAAGATCATTTGGCTTGTTCTGTTCAATCATTTTGTCATCATTTTCAGATTCCATAGCTTCTTCTTTCACTGAAACAACAACAGCTCCTCTGCTTTCTCCATTCTCACCACCATATACCTTTAATTTCAGCTCACGAATCTATCGAAAGACATAATATCAGTAAAGATTCGAACTTTAAACAACAACATACTCAGTATAATCCCATAAGTGGAGTTTTGGACATCGAGGTTGTTTTCAATAGAAAAGATTCAAACTTTAAATGTTTATCTGCACCAAGTATCAATTGATTTTGAACTCGATAAATTAAATGAGTTATAGTAGAATCTCGAACTTAAAACCCATAAAGTTCAAATTTTGGACCATCCTCTAATCTGCAGTCGTATCATAAGTCGAGTTATAGTAGAATCTAGAACTAGAACCCAAAAAGTTCCAATTTTGGACCCTCCTTTAATATATAGTCGCATCATAAGTCACTTGATTGTGTAAATCAAATGAGTTTATGGTAGAATCTAAGAACTAGACACATAAAGTTTAAATGTTCGACACTCCTTTAATCCGTAGTCGTATCATGAGTCACTTGATTGTGTAAATCAAATGAGTTACGGTAGAATCTTGAACTAGACACATAAAGTTCAAATTTAAGACTCTCCTCTAATATGTAGTCATATCATAGGCCACTTGATAGTGTAAATCAAATGAGTTATGGTAGTACCTAGAACTAGACACATAAAGTTTAAATGTTGGACCCTCCTTAAAACCGTAGTCATATCATAGGTCACTTGATTGTGTAAATCAAATGACATGGTAGAATCTCGAATTAGAATAACAACAACAAACTCAATAAAATCCCACACGTGAGGTCTGGAAAAGGCTAGTGTATACATCCTAATAGACGGTTTCTGATAGATTCTCGAACTGGAACCCATAAAGTTTAAATTTTAGACCTCCCTCCCCTAATCTATAGTCATAAATCGAATGCATAGAACTCAAACTTACTATACTATAACAAGACTATCAACACAAGCCTTGATTAAATTAGTACCTCTTTGACAAGAGCTTCATTGTCATGTTTGAGAGATTCATAGTTGTGTTTGAGTGAATCAAAATTGGCTTTAAGAACATTGTAATCTCTCTCAAGTTGCTTTGTTTTCCATCGAGCACGTCGGTTTTGGAACCAAACAGCTACTTGTCTAGGCTGCAATCCAAGTTCTTGAGCCAATTTCACTTTCCTTTCAGGTTCAAGTTTGTTCTCAACTTCAAAATTCTTCTCCAAAGCTTTCACTTGTTCAACACTTAGTCTCCTTTTCTTTTGGCCAGATTCTTCCACACATCCTTCTTCATCTAAGCCTAATTCTAACATAGACTGAAAGTCCCTTGTTGAATACACATGGCTGTTCCCATGGTTCTGGTCATCTAAAAAAAACATCAAAATTCAAGAACATGAGAATAGACACGACGAAAATTTATCTTCAAATATCTGTTTGGCTCAAAACTAGCTCATATATAAACAAGAATATGAGTAAAGACATGATTCGCTAGCGTATGACCATGGATTTTGAAAATTTATCATCATATCTGTTTGACGGTGAAATTTGATTACAAACATCATAAGTGAGCTAGTTTTGGGGCTTTTGAGACTTCCACAACTTTAAAAAAGCTCAAATTTTCAAATTTCAACTTCGAAACTTATGACCAAACATGATGAAACAAAGAGACCACATAATTGCCTTGAAGAAAGCTAAAAATGGAAATAGAAGAACAAACAATGGTATAAAGAGTCAAGCACAAAAACTTACTAAAACAGGAAGAAAAAAAAAAAAAAGACACTCTTCCTGATTCGATTAAAAAATTCAATTTTTTCAATATTCCCCATTAGTTTCCATTATAGCTAAAACTAGGGATTGGAGCATGGAAAGAGCTTATCAAGACAAGAAGATGAAATGAGACTATAAATAAATTTCAGAGAGAAAAAGTTTTCAAAACTATAATCATATAGTATAGGTCACTTAGGCATATTAACAAGTACCTGTAGTACTTGGACACATGGACATCAAAGCTCCCAAAGAATCAGAGCTACTAAGTCTTTTCATAATTATGATTTGATGATCCAAATTTCCAAACAATAACAAAGTTCAATATTTGTTTCCTTTTGTTTTGGGATCAAAGTTCACTTTCTTGAATTCTTTCTTAACCTTAAATTTACTGAGAAACAGAGGTGCAAAAAAGGAATTAAATTTAGTGTTCTTGGCCTTTTTTTTTGTTCTTTTTTTTTCTCACTTATAAGAAGAAGATATGAAAACAGATACTTTCACTACTAAAACCAACCAAAATGGCAAAGTTTTCAGTGAAAGATTTGATTTTGTGCAACCCTTTTTCTTCTCTACTAACCAAACTTCCATTTTTCTCCTTTTTAGATATTTCCTCCACCTCACAACAACCCATCAAGAATTGGAAGGCAAAAATCAAGAAAATCTAATAGAGGGAAGAAATTGATAGCTAAAAAGAGGGTAAATTTGACAATATTTTTCCTATTTTTACATTTATTAACTTAAAAATCAAATCTTGAAACACCCCCATTCAATTTTTTTTTTATTTTTTTTTTTGGAGAAGAATTTTTTTTTGGGAGAGTTGTGAAAATTGAGATGAGAAAAAACCTGCTGGCCCTTTGCTCAACACTTTCTCTCACTTTAAATAAAACCAAAGGTGAGTCAGACGTAGGGTTAGAATCTGACTGGGGTTAGGTGCACTTTGCAAATTTCTTGGGGGGCAAATGAAATGAACTCTAAATTCAAGCCAAATTCAACCTAAATGCAATGTTTTCTAGTTTAAGGGGATATTCTTTTGGATTTAGCTTATATATTTATATATATTATATAATAGATATAAAAAATATTATATTATAATATAGTATATTTTCTCTGTTTTTCGTTTACGTGACACTTTTTCTTTTTTAGTCAGTTATAAAAAGTGACATTTTTTCATATTTAGTAAGAATTTTAATATCAAACCGCTTATTTTATTCTTACTGAAATGATTTATGGCCGTAATTTTTTTTAATCCTTAAATTGAAATAGAAGAATAGTATGTTATTTTCTTGGGTTTAAGTTTTATGCTCTAATTACATTGAAAAAAAGACTTATATGTCAATTTATGCGACATACATTTTTTATTGAACTAAAAGGAGGACATATTTTCAATTTTTAGACTTTTTATATTATCCTTAATGAGATAATTTCTAGCTATACAAATATATATAACTTATTTTGGACTATGAATTTGAAAAGCATTTGTTTCATTATCAGTCAATACATTCATATAAATTGAGACAAATAAATTATTATCAGTGAACTTTAATCATGTGTTAAAGATTTACCGTGTATGTTCACTCAATTAATAGTAATTATTTTCGAAAATCATTTTTCTATTTAATTGCAACTGTTTCAACAACAAAAGTAATATTTTGAAATAATAACATTTAATTGAGTGACTATCTCAGAAATTAACTCTCGCCAATATTTTTTTTAAAAATAAAGTCAACTAACATCACATAGAACTTAATTCATTTTGAAAATAATGATTAGTTAAATCATATTTAAAATTTTTATTCTTAATAAAATGTCTTAAAATTCAAACTCCTCTTATATTATTTTATTTTATACTCAATAGAAAAATTAAGGGTAATTTTTGTCTTTTAATAAAATGTTGGATAAGAATAAAGTGAATATTGACATGGCAATATAAGCTATATAGCAGTGATAAGCAGAATGTGGAAAGGAACACGGCTCGGCTCGGCTCGGCTTGAGCTGAGCTGGCTAAAGATATTTGACACGTCAGCATAACCCCATTTCATTTCCTCGGCGTCGTTGGTGCGTGTATCGCCGATTCATTGAAAGGTAAATATTGACTCTTTTTGTTACAGTTTGGTTAAACATACTTTTACGTATTTATTGATTTTATATAAATATTGAATATTGATAAAAAATTAATTTTTTATAACGACTGTGGTTAAACCTTAAGATTATTTATACAAAAATTATGGTATTATTTTTAATACCACGCTCAATTAATTTATCGAAATTAGTAATTTTAAAATAAATTAATAAAATGACAAAAAGTTATGTTGTAGCTCATAACTTGGTTAAGCTTTCAATTTTTTTATTGTATGGTTTCTCTTGGAAAAAGAACATTTCTAAATTGGATAGTGAATGATATTGTACGATCCTTATATCAATATCATATCCCTAATGAATTAATAGATGAAATTTTCGACAGTATATTAGAAAATTCCACTATATTTCTTGTAATAAAATAAAAACTTAAATAAACATATTTAATTAAGAGTAAAGAAATCATAATCCCGATACAATTTTTTTAAATAAATTCATATCTTCTTTAATGACACTTAATCCAATCCACAGACAGTTTCAAGAGTTTGTGACCAATCTCTTCTTACCTTGATATGTGAAAAAAAAAATAGAGAGAAGAATATAATTTGTCTGCTTTATCATATCTAAGCATGTGGTTTTAACCTACTTGTAATTATAACATCATTGGAAAATCTATAATAATAAAAAACTTTTTTTTTAGGTTTTTCACTAGATGTTTGATATTTATAGCGTGATTCAACTTAATTTGAATTTGTGCATTATAACTTATTATTAGGTGTAATGCTTTAACAAAAAGATTTCATTTTTCTGATGCTTGAATTTGAAACTTCTGATTTAGAATTAAAGGATGACAAATGATCATCCCACTACAATTCATACCGATTAAAAACAAAAAACAAAACAGGCTAATTTGGTTGCACAGACAACTATAAAGATGTGAAAAAATGATTATTTTCCAATTAAATTAAATGTTTGCCCAAACATGTAGACACTAGAAAATAAGTTACATCCTATATATTGGGTCCATATCCTGCATTTCAATAAAAACAAATTTATGTCTTGTTTGACTCTTGTAACTTTTATATATTTTTTTAATTATTTATAATAATTTCACATCAGTTTTTTCAATCAAGAAATTAAATGTTCCTCTACAGTCTATATATAGCTCCCTACTGTTTTATTAGGACTTAATATGATTATAATTAAGTGGGATCTCCACAATATTTGTCAATTTTACTCTTATTACAAAAATATTAATCAATTACACAAATTCCTGAATTTTTATATATTCATCCCCCAAAAAATTGGACATGATAATTTTTCATCATCTAGCTCGAGCAAGAAATCGAAAAAACAACAGCAAATGAATCTAAACATCGATACATATTCACATATATTTATATCTTAAAATCACCTTTTTGTAACAATGTATCCATCATCTCAAAATTCTAAATACGCCTCTGTGTAGGTACGATGCATGTATTCTATTCATATAGACGTAGTTGATATAAGAATGGTTTCAATGGGAAAAAAAATGATTGAGTTATTTATACGTTGTCCTAATGTTACTTTGTTCATGTTAATGTTTTTCATATATCGAAAACTATATAATTACATGATATTATTATCAGAGGGGGGTTTAATATTCTGATTATGAGTTCAACTGATCATAATATTTTTTTGACATGTACATAGTATATCCATATCTATATGAAAAACTACTAACTTTTTTTGTGAAAGACCCCTTTTCCCTTATGTCACTCGGGAATGGGGAAACTTATGTGAAACTTTCCCTCCCCACACCTTAAATAATCATATACCGAGATCTTTTTTTTTTTGATAAATATTTAATTCTAAACCGATATAATTCAAAAGGTGCAGTAAATTCGATGATAAAATTCTCAAGATCAATCAAACATATTAAATTCAAATTTTAATCTGTCTCGAATCAATATCAAATTTTAAAAAACTTTAGATCGATGGCAATGAGAGATTTCATTTTCAAAACTCTCATTCAAAAAAGTCTTATTGTTTAGTAGATGGAAGAAAAATTGGCATTTCTTTTGAGTTGTGACATCTAGGGGACATGCAAGTGGGAATTTAGCTGTAATATTCTACTAGCTTCTCATTATATTATAAAATATTTTAAAAAATAAATAATAGGAGCCCACCATAGGCAACAAAAAGTAAGTCCTATTAATGGAAAAATGAAATTGTTTAATTCTTTTATGTGTCGTCTGATGTTCGATATTTGTATGAGAGTTCAATAAAATCTGAATTCACATTAAAAAGTTTGATCATACTGAGAGTGAAATAGTTTTCAATAAAAATAATTTTATACTCAAAACTTGAATCTGAAACATCTCTCAATTCGATAGAAGAAAAAAAAAAGGAATTTTTCACTTTTATAATGTGGACAACACGTGTTAGTGTGAGTTAAGTTTTCTCCCATTGTCCCAAAGGGAAACCCCACAAGAAAAAAAAAAGGGGAATTGATGAGTTGTGTGCATGTGAGTTTACTTAGCATTTGTTCAAAAAGAAAAAGAAAAAACATATAAAAGTTTCAACGAAAAAACAAAATATTTGAATTAAGTTCATTTGCTTGTTTTCAAGGTAGACATAAAATTGCAAAGCAAAAGCTGTCCATATTGCCACATCATTGGAAAAAAAATACTCTTTCCGTCCCAATTTATGCATGTCGCATTTTTCAAATTTTGTTATTTAAATAAAAAATAATTAGCATAATTTTTCATATTTTTAAAATATTTTAAATTATTCATTATTGTGACTTATAATAGTACTCTTTAGAAAATTTTCAAATATATAAATTTTATTTCAAAAAACTTAAAGATTTCATATTTGAATTCACAATCAAATTAAATTGTTTGACTACTCTCAAAATTTAAACTGTACTACATAAATATAGAGATTATATGAAATATTCTTTAGGGTATAAAATTATTGTCATTTGATGTGATCTAGATTATATGAAATATTCTTTAGGGTATAAAATTATTGTCATTTGATGTGAGATCATTTGTCACAAATTTCTAATTTAATTTGTTGTGTGTCATTACCTCCCGTCTATCATAAATATTTGAATAAGCTTGTTACGGAGAAGATATATATAGTTAAAATGTATGATATCTTATCGTCTAGTCATTCATAGTTTGCATTTTCATAAGGAATTCAAATTTCACTGAATTTTCACATTAGAAATAATAGAATAATCGTTACACCATTTAAGTAGATCGTTATTTATGTTATAAGAAATTTCGCTGCTTTAAGATGATTAAAATTATATACACAATCTTGAGTCATAATATTTAAAATAAATTCTCAATAAATACACCAAAAAAAGAAAAATATATACTCCGTATTTTGAGTTCACTGAAAAAGGGGTATGGGAAGAGGAGGATCTTCTTGTAGTTGATAAGAGATCAAAAAGTATGGGACATATTAATTAGTGTTTCTGACTCTGCACAAAAGTATATGTTTAAATCACCCATAACATTTTTTTCTTAAATATTATTTTTATTTATTTATATAATAATAATAATAAAATACATCTTTCTATGATTTAATCATTATGTGTCCATCAACAAAAACTTTGAAAAAGCACCTTAGCTTCTTGGTTTTGCAGATATATAACATCTTCACTTTAACAAATCCATGCAAAGATAACAAGAAAATGATTGGTTCTCATCAAAATACTAAGCAATAGTAATTTAATCAATTAGTAGTTTGTCATATTTTTGTGGTAAAAAAGACAGCTCGATGCATTGAACATTTTATATTTATACAAGCATTAAGCTGTAGATATTGATTTTATTGACTGAATATATTTGTGATCGATGTGTTATATTTATCGTTGTTCGAAAGCGTCCCTTCAACTTTAATTTATCATTACCATATCTTGGTATACAACAACAACAATAATAATATATCAAATGTAGTTCTATAAGTGGGTAAAAAAAATGTATATGCAATTAACCTTATCTCTACCTTGTGAAAATATAAAGGTTATTTCTGATAAATACTCAACTCATGTAATATATGTAAAGGAAATACTATAATGAAAAAGTCATACCGAAAATAATGAGAAAAAAACATGACCAGCAACAATAACAAATAGTACGATAAATGAAGCAAAATACAATAAAAACAACAGATAATAAAATCGAAGACTAATTACATAATATGAGAGTAAGAAAAACAATACAATAAAAAAATTAAACACTACTTAACTACCTATCAACCTTCTGCCTTAATTAAACACCTTTTAATCACACTCTTATTTTCCTAATTAGTACAGTTCTTGAAGGCCTCCAAGAGAATAGCAATAGTCAATTTACACAATCAGCCAAAATTTTAAACTTGTTGATCATACTTTTCAACAAGTACCAAAAGTGACAAAAATTTAATACATTTTTTTAAAATTAAAAATTACTTTGTCTTTTCTCCCCCACATCCATTTTATTATTATTTTTTATATATAACATAAAGTAATGAATGCCATAGTACAATATTCTTGCTTCCCCATGTGAATTTGCTAATCTTGAAATTAATTAAGACCATAATTTATTAATAACCTATTCCATTAATAAAAATGTGCCATTTTTAGTTATTTATTAGGACTATATATAATTTTAAATATGGAGTTTAATGCTTAAAATCAATATTATTGTACCAAATGCTGGCATAAATCTTTTGGTTGTTTGCTTCTCGATAATCATAATTAATTAAAATCCAAGAAAGTACTAGGCTAATTGATTTGAGACAGTCTAAATTAATTATATTCTAACACAATTAATATCAAGATCACAAATCTCATGATTAATTTTGCCCCTTAAACACCTCATGTTGTATCTCTAAGTACCCTTGTTAATACTGACTAAAATTGGTCCCCATTAATTTGGGATTACTATTAGTATACCATATATATCTTGTGATTTTATAGATGTAAATTGTCACTATTAGAGTAGATGGAATATTGATCAAGTAATAATTGTATTTACATTCATACTAAAAAATCATAAGTTATAGGTCTACTGGAGCTATCCACCTTGATCAATCAACCAAAATTTTGATCGAATACAAAATTATTGATGCTCGATCTATGCCAATAGAAAAACCTTGAAATAATGTTCTTTTTTTGTGATCTTTCTGAATATATTTTGTTATGAATTTAATAAAGAAAAAGAATTTCTTTATGAGTAGTACTCTACGGCCTATATAACTTAATTTTTTCTCATGAACTTTTTTTGGTCAATGGATTAGTTCAATCCAAAACTTTAAAGCAATTTAAAACATGATTTAAAATTGATCAAATTAACCTAGATATATCTTAATACATGTTGCATGAATCACATGGATATTATTGGAATATTTATACATACAGTTTATTTCCAGAAGAAAGTGATAGATAGCCAAGTTTTGAGTTTAATTTTCAAAAGTGAAAGTGACTGTCACCAAAAAAGAAAAATAAAAGTAGCAATAAAATAAAGAACATATTTTTTCCATTTACTTTAGAAAGTAGGAAAAGAGAGTTATCTTTTTGTTTTTGGAGTAGCTGATATGACCTATGATTAATTGTAATCCCTCCGATCCATCTTACTTTTGTTATATTTTTTTCACCTTTTTAAAGAAAAATATTAACTTGCTATGACTTTATTATCGTTTGATCGTTATTGAGGTTTTTGCTTCTGTTCAATACATGATGATTGAAGTCAACTTTGGTTGGTTAATTCGATCCGCTCATCGATGATCGACAACTATGATGATCCTAATGATGATCTTGTATGTATTTCATGAGTATCTCACCTGCAGATTTAGAAAAATCTGACGAATTAACTTGAGTTACAAGTCTGGTTCTTGCTGCATAAGTGGAAACTAGCAAAAAGTTGATTACATCTTTATTTTTTAAGATTATTACTATTTTAGATAATTTATTTTTAATAAGGACGACAAATAGAATGAATTCACGAACTATAAAGAATCAAAAACTAGGAAAAAGGAAATCAGAAATAAATATAAAATTGAAAAGTAACAAATGGGGAATTTTTTTTGATGAAAAAGTGGGCTTTTTAGAGGGTAGACCCCTTAATGGTAGGCAACTTTCCTTTCAATGCTTTATTTTTATTTTTTTTCCTATTTTTTGAGTGCTTGTCTAAAGGGCAAAAATAAAAACTTGGAAAAGTAAAAAAGAAAAGTAGAAAATTGATGAAGGCTTTGGATTTCACTCCTTTCATTTTACAATTATTGTTTTTATAAAAATTAATCTAAAGTAGTCATATAATTAATAGTTTTGAGTGTTGTACATTGTGCTTTAAAAGTAGTTGTATAATGAAGTCAAGTTCGCCATTAAGATATTCGTTAAGTTAATGTACTTAAAAGACTCGAAAGATCTAGTACTTGATGAGCTTACTCATGAGTGAATATATGAAAGTGCCTTAAGTCGAGTGTAGCAATGACATTTTTAAAGAGAACGAAGGCAACATATGAAAGAATGTGATCGATCTTTGAACAGGCTTAATGATTTGATGATGAACAACAAAACAAGTATATGAAACACAAATATATTATTTGAGATTAAAAAATGATTGATTTGTGTCATATAGGAGTGTGCAAACTATGATTACCGACTTATCATACTGCACAAAACCAAAATCGTACTTAAAAATACTGAACCATAGCGAATAGTATGGCAATGATAGAGCATTTTAAAAAAGATTGAAGCTAATAATAATGAATGATCTTTGCTTTGCGGGAACAACAAAAACCCCCATCTCGTTCTTTCCTTTCTTCGGTCCTACCTTCCCAGGATGGGAATGAGATGCAATAAGAGGCTAGTTCAACATTGACAATAAACTGCATCAAAAGATTGTATTCGCGTTAAAAAAATTCATATAATTGGTAAAAGTAATTTATCCAGAACCCAATAAGCAAAAAGAATTGTGGTCCAGTACCCCATAAACTAAAAATCCTTGCTCCACCACCAACAAATTTTATCGCGATATAATTGATGACAAATCAATACCTTTAATTAGAGCTTTTTGGGACAAATGCATCCTGTCCTGAATTGTTATTACACCAGAAAATTCCTGTTAGATATAGCAAGATCAATAGTATGTTCTTATGTAACGATTAACGGATCAAAATTGAAAGCAAAATCCTTCGTAAAAGTTAGGTGAACGTAGCCTTAAGCAAAAGAAATCTCGTTAGACCTAACATAGAAACTATTACCACGACTTGGATTGAAAAGAAGAACTTAGAAACGTAGTACTAGAAGGGGCTTCCCATAAAAAAACTGAGTCTTGACAGTTCAAGTGAGTTTTTTAGACTAGTCCGACTAAGATGGTGAGGAAACTGACATCCAAGAGAGCTACTTAAGCTACCTATGCCTGTCTAGTTAGATCGTTGGGTCACTCTTTCTAAGAGACGGGAATGTAAGTAGAAAACATCCCCTGAGAAAGTCTCACGACCTGGTGGTTGGTGTAACAATAATGCCATTTTGTTAATATGCTACCGCCTATTTACTAAGATCATCGTAGATTATTAATGCATGCATTGCTCGATCTTTTATCAGAAAACTACGTCCTCGAGCTCAATGTTTCAAGTCACAGGGAACTTTTTAGCTGCATTCTTACACGAATATTCGATAAGAAGGAAGCCATGGAATTCACTTACTTATTTCAGTATTAGTAAAGGCCAAGAACCTTCCACCAACCAGCTCCAGCTACTGCCCATATGACAATATTCATAATAGCTATGATGATGCCCAATTTGAAAACATCGCGTAGTTCTACATAACCAGCTGCCAAAGAAGAGCAATCGAAAATAAGACCAGTTCGAATTCCTCAAATAAACGAAAAGGGAATAAGTTATCGAAATGTGAATACAGATAAACCAGAAAGAAGTTGAAATACTGATACTACTCTTGCTGCATTTTTCCCTTTAGTGGGACGAATAAAACGACTTAAGCAGTTGCAGACATACACATTCAGGAAACAGAAACAATTTTTTTTTTGATTCCGCTTATTCTATGTCATTTTAAGCCTCAAGTAGTTGCTCCTTTCCGCAGTTCTGTTTTCTATCAAAGTCGATACATAAACCATTCAAGATGCACCGTTAACAAATTTGTAAGCTTATGAAGGTAGAAAGACTGTTTCTGATAGACCTCGGCTCAAGAGCATATAAGAAAATAGACGTGTAAAGCAATTGCAGTAGCGAACAAGCCAGGTTGAAAACAATGAAGAAGAGAACAGTAACAACAACAAATAATACGATCTCATCCATATAAGCAGTACTTTTCTCTCGAATCAATTAGAACAATATTCTGTCAAATAAAAGAGATATGGTTCGATTAAGTTACCTCCATAGTATACTGCAGCTTGACCACTGCTGTAATGTGTCAACCCGCCAAAAAGATTTGTGTTGTATCCTAAAGCCAATGCAGCAAAAAGACCGGGAACTTTTGCTGCTAAGCACATTGCGAGAAATGCTGAATACAATGCTGCAACATGACCAGTTTGACTAGCAAACAAGTAGTGGATGAAGAAATATGCTGCTTGAAGGATACAAAACGATCCGAACCAATGTAGTGAAAGAGATTCGAGGTAGTTACCCACAGCATTTGACATCCAGGCGACAACTCCCAGAGTTGTTAACTGTGATGCCATGCCTATTAAAACCCCGAACCAGGCTAAGGTATCCCACGCGGATTTTTCACTCAAGCAATCATTCCAATCAAGTATTCCGAAAGTCAAAAGTAGCACCAATCCCAGCATTGCTGTGATAACACTTGCTAGCCCAATAGCCTCTCTGTACAAAAATTAAAATAAAAGTTGTTGACATTATCAAGGATCAGCTATATAACGAAATAGACATATAGAAACAGGAAGATGCAACATCAGCAATATGTTCAAATGTCAAGACAAGGACTTGATTCAGGATTCGAGTTCTCAAGAAACGGTCCCCTCCTTCAATATCATGATTGGATCTATCAGATCATGAGAGGAATAGAAAATGTTCAACACATGACAACTATAATCCAAGAAAATGTTATTCGATCAAAAGGTAGATAGCATCAACAATAACAATAACAATTACGTCTCAATCCCAAGACCAAATTTATACAAAACCAGTTGGTAATCTAATTTTATGTTGAAGAACAAACCACATGTCACTCAGGTCATGAGCAGAGGGATATAATGAAGAGCTATTAAGTATAAAATGGAAAACGAGTCTAACCCGACCACAAAAACTAGTTCATAAGATGAAGGATATCCAACCTAAAAAAAGGACAATAGTCCATTTTCTCAACCAATGTGGAAACTTAACACTCCCTTCCCCCCTCCACACGCCCGGGACTGAACATCCAGTGAGTGGACAATATAACATAGGGATCCAACATTAGACAAACAAGGAATTAAGCAGCTTATTTGTAAATAAAATGGACTTTGTTTTCCAAAGGCGTTTACCGTGATATCACTTCTCCCTATTCGACAATTCACTCTCCCTCGACTTGTCCCCAACTCGAAAGTTAGCTCATAAACATCATCCAAAACCATATAAGAAGAAACGGTCCATTCTCTCAACCAACGTGGGAGAAACGGTACACAACCAAAAGAAATATCGAACACATCCATAGCAACAACAACATATCCAGTATAACCCTACAAGTGGGGTCTGGGGAGGGTGTTATGTACACGTACTTTACCTTACCCTAAAAGACTGTTTCTGAAAGACCCTCGATTCATATAAAGCAAATAATGAAAAACATAACAGTAACAATAGCAAATAATACGATAACCAAAGCAAAAGAAAACAACAGATGATAATACATTGTTTTATATCAGGATTTTTTTGAACATACCCTGCAATCCATAATCCAACTGTTACAAGCATCACAATCGTCATCACCCATTCATCGCTTTTCATTGGCCCCATCTGTTGCAGTCTCCTTCTAGCCATTAATGGAGCATCTGGTGTATCCTTCATTTCTGGAGGAAAAATCTTGTATAGTACAACTGGAGTAACTAGAAGTGATATAACTGCTGGTATACACGAAGCCTTGAGCCAAGTCAGCCATTTACTTGATACTTGTACACCTAATCCCTCAGCTAATTTCACACACAACAGATTTTGTGCAGCAGCTGTTAGGAACAGGGCACTTGAACTACTAGAACACTGTAAAATGCATCACAAAATAAATTTGCATTAGTCAAGTTAGCTTTCATGTGATCAACGAGGTCACAGGTTCAAGCTGTGGAAACAACATCTTACAGAAATGCAAGGTAAGGCAACGTAAGTGGTCCAACCCTTTCTCAAACCCCACACATAGTAGGAGCTTATTGCACTGGACAATCTTTTCTTTGACTTGTTATAACATGTTAAATACTTGTGTTATTCCAAATTGCTAACAACATTGATGTAGTTTTTTTTGGTTTCCCACCCGGTGACTAAATCCGGATCGTGCTCTGCAGGGCCCATTCGGGGTGGTGCTCCCAACAAGATTTTCTCCATACCTAAGGCTCGAACTCGAGACATCTGGTTAAGAGTGAAGCACTCCCACCAGTGCACCACAACCCATATTGGTAGTCCATTCAGTAGTTATCACAACTATATATAGTAAATGAATAAATTAAACAAGCTAGTATCATGATCATGTATTTTTTCAGCAAGCTGGTTCAACAAAATGTTCTATAGCACAAATTTCCCACTGATTCGCGGTGAAAAAAAACAACTTTTATTTCTAGTAGTGATAAAAGGACTACTTGTAATCATAAAATAAGATAGATTACAAGGTATAACATGTTAAAGGTGATTGGATGACATTATACTGACGATATATATAACTTAAAACTCGTAAAAAATGAATGCTAACCTGCAATTGAGATTGAATAAGATAGGCTCCAAGCTTCCTAGAAGAATCATTTTTTGGGTGACTATCAGCTGTAACAGCCAGTGATTTAATTATAGGCAAAAAAATGCCACCAGCTCTTGCAGTAGTACTTGGAATTGCTGGAGAAATGGCTGCTTCACTTAAAGCAAGCCCATAAGATAGGCCCAATGTATTTTTCCCAAGCCAACTTACAAAACATAAGGCAATTCTATCACCAAGCCCAGTTTTAATAAATCCTCTTGAGAAAAAAAATGATACAACAATTAACCAAATGACTTCATTAGTGAAAGCAGCAAACGCCGCGGCGAATGTTAAGGTTTTTGTGACGACAGTAACTGTGAGACAAAGAAAAGCCCATGCACCTACTGGTAACGGGCCTAAAACAAGGCCCGAGATAGTTGCAAGGAAAATGGCTAAGAGTTGCCACGCGTTTGTAGTGACTTTATGGGGTTTTGGGACCGCGAAACGAAAAATCAGGCCAATTGCTATCGATATAGCTAGTGGGATTAGCTTTGCACCTTTCCATGGGGGAAGGCGACGAGGACGAGAAGGAGGAGGAGGAGGAGAGTGGTTGGGGGATGAGGGTGGAGAATTGTGGGTAGGAAGAGGAGACTTCGGAGTTGACATCAAGTTATTAACCACCTGTTATCATAAAAGATGAATTCAGAATTTTATTTAGTATATAGTTCAAAAAGAATATTACATGTAGCATGTATGATAATAGCAAAATTGATTCTATAATCTCCCAATAACACCTAGAAAAACTATAAAGTGAAGAATTTAACAATTCATGCATATAACACAAAAACAATTGTTATCATGCACGATATATGATCGAATTTTCTTACCTTGATTCACCTTTTGAACGAAAAAAACGCCTTTTATTTTGTGAAAATCTTACTATCGAATGATTCACTTTCAAGTTCTCATCTTCGATAATGGCTATTGGCAAGTGGTGGGAGGAAGAAATTTTGAGATATAAATGGAAAAAAAGGGAGAAGTGGAGGGAATAGAAAGTGGAGACAATTATATCTTTTTGAATTTGAATTTTGTTTAATGAATTTCCTTTTTAAGTTTATATGCTTTTAATAATAATTTAAGTCACTCTTATCAAGAAAAAAGGTAATTGGATATTTTTGGTTGAAAAAGGACAATAAATGACAAAATATATGGACATATATGATATGTTGGTACTATATACCCGTGATAGACTTATTATTCTCTGACTTTTTACATGTCTCGTCTATTTTATTAATTTTTACTCCATTATTTTAATTTACATGTCTTGATTTAATTGAACATGATATTTAAGATATAAAGAAAGAATTTTGAAATTTATAATCTTAATTTAAAAATGTGTATAGTCCTTAAATTTTATGATCATAAACTTATCATGTAAATTATTGGAATGTCACGATTTAAGGGGAGAATCTCAAAGCAAACCTTGACAGCAACCTTAAAAAAATCGAGTAGAGTTTTTCCTATTTTTTGGGTTTATCCAATATTTCTCTAGTAAGTGATAAACTCTTTCATTCAAATCACGAATGTGTGACATTATCAAATGATGTAGAATAATACAATCTATCCAGACATTACGATACATTATAAAACAATACGTAACAATCATAAGAACTCATGGTTGCTATATGAATAAAATACCTTGAAATTTAAGTTTGCTTTGAGTGGCTCTATTTGTGTTATACCCAGGCTATCTCCACGTTTTGAGTTTTATTGTAGGGTTTTAGCCATTGTTCTTCTTCTTTCTATATTATTAATTAAAATACTGCTAATTATTATAATTGGGTATTACATAGAATCATAAAAATACTACTTCTTAAATACATAAAAATACATTATTATCGGCCCCAACAATAGTAGATCCAAATCCAGACCCTTTTTTTGTGCTGCATCTACTGACATTGTCAAGGGATCTATTATTTAGTATTTTACTTGTTTGCAATTAACATATAAATAGATTATTATAGATAGAGACGATGATGCGTCATCTTTCTATGGTTAATATTGATATCTAAAAATACATTATTCGGGATAGATTAAAACAAATATGGATTTAATTTATGTTTCCTATAGGAAGTTAGGAATCAAACATGGATAATGAGATTAATCTAATCAAATTGAAACAATATAGAAAAGATTAGCATGGCTCATGTATAAAAATAATATAATTTACACTCACATATTGAATGCTTATTTGAATTTTTTGATAGATTATAATGATAAGGTATTTTGTCTTTAATTAGAAATCTATAATTCGGACCTCGTTAATAAGGAATAGTTTTTTCTCAAGAGATAAAAAGAAAATATTTGGACACAAACTTTCACACCAAAGATTTTGTCTATTTATGATTTGAAATTTCATTTCAAAAGGCAATGATTTTCAAGTCATTTTCAACTAAGGATAAGGTCAAGAGCATAACACTATGTAAATGGACACCACCACTACTCCTGCTTTATGTCTTATGCTGATGATATATACATGGTCGTTTAGTAGCTAGTTGAGTTATGTCGATAATAAATTGCGTATAAATAAATTATTCATATATTAAATTAATAATGTTATTTGAATTGTAATTTAGAAATTCATATAACTAATGGCTAATACACATATAAGTTATGAAAGAATTTATGTATTATATTATATGTAAGATATAAAATAGAATAACTAATAGTATATAAATAATTAAATCTTACCTAAAATAATATTTTCTTCATAACTAATCTTTATATTATTAGTACGTACGTAGCTGTAATCAACTGTCAAATGTCCCTAACAATAACATCAAACACAATATGAGAAACTTTTTTGAGGAAAAAGTTTTTAAAAATCTAAGTCCAAATTCAGAGTCTCTTTTTGTGCTGCACCCACTGATTATCAAAGAATCTAGTTTTTAGTACAATTATTACAATCCCACTTTTACTTGATTGCAATTAACCTGTATATATAAAATATAAATTATAAATAAAAGAGAGCGATGTATCATCTTTTTATGATTAGTATTAATATCTAATATTTTGTTTAAATAATATAGAGGTTGAATGGTGTTGAAGACAATATTGTGAATGGTGAATAAAGCAAATTTAGGATTTAAAATTTCGAATGTCACGCAACTTCAAACAATAATATATATATATATATATATATATATATATATATATATATATAAATGGTGAATAAAGCAAATTTAGGATTTAAAATTTCGAATGTCACGCAACTTCAAACAATAATATATATATAAGTTCTAAGTATAACGTATATGTAACTTGAGTTTTAACCATTAGCTGAGATTCATTGTTCATTTGGATGACATGATTAAAATTTACACATTTTCTTATACATAACATATATAAATATATATTGAATTTCAATCAAAACGTTCGAATATCGTAACATTCGCTCCAGTTTACATAAATTCGCGTGTAGTGGTGGGATAAAACAGGCTAGCCAGCCATCATGGTTGGTGGCTAACCTATGACCATATAATTGGGCGTTGAAAATAGTATTTGAGTTGTAATTTAAAAATTCACATAACTAGTACATATACTTATAATTCAATAATGAATATATCCATATAGTATTATTTTGTGGATAGGTGCAATCGTAACTATCCATATATAACTTTAACCGACTACCAAAGGACCCTAAAATTCCAACATCTTAAAAAAAGCATCCTAATCCAACGGTTCATATTCAAAGTCCTCATGATCCCCAAACAGTGGCCTTTAACAGCTCCATTGAGCATCTTCTCGTAGCTGCTTTTTTTATCCACAACAACTCTTTAAGCCTTCTTCAATTTCATCAAAGATTACAACTCTATACTCAAATTGGGTCAGCATAATAATGGCTTCAATTCAAAATTCAATGGTTTTTTCTCATTTGAGGTGAGTTTTCTTGAGCACCCTTTTCTTTTTATTGCTTGAAAATAGCAAAGATCACTAGAAATTTGGTTAATTTTTGCCATTTTCTTTGACCCCATTTCATTTTAGTTCCAAGAATCTTGTAAAGTTTGTTCCTTTTTAGGTTGTGTGTAGTGGATTCTAGGAGCATCTTAGACCTAGATATTGTAAGTGTTTTCTTTTTTTTGTTTGTGTGTGTGTGTGTGAATTTGCTTGCTTTGGATAGTGTACTTTTGTAGAAAATTGTGATTAAAAAAGTTGGAATCTTTTGGGGTGTGAGTTTAAGATTTAGGGAAATACTTCTTCCGTCCCAGTTTAAGTGTCACTTAGCTCTTTTCACGCCTATTAAGAAAAACAATGTTTAGTGTAGTGCTTATGTAGAAAATTGTGATTAAATAAGTTGGAATCTTTTGGGGTGTGAGTACAAGATTAGCGAAATACTCCCTCCGTCCCATTTTAAGTGTCACTTTAGCTCTTTTCACGCTCATTAAAAAAAACAATGTTTAGTGTAGTGCTTATGTAGAAAATTGTCATTTAAAAAAGTTGGAGTCTTTTGGGGTGTGAGTACAAGATTAGCGAAATACTCCCTCCGTCCCATTTTAAGTTTCACTTTAGCTCTTTTCACGTCCATTAAGAAAAACAATGTCTAATGTAGTGCTTATGTAGAAAATTGTGATTAAAAAAGTTGGAATCTTTTGGGATGTGAGTACAAGATTAGCGAAATACTCCCTCCGTCCCATTTTAAGTGTCACTTTAGCTCTTTTCACACTCATTAAGAAAAACAATGTTCAGTGTAGTGCTTATGTAGAAAATTGTGATTAAAAAAGTTGGAGTCTTTTGGGGTGTGAGTACAAGATTGGCGACATACTCCCTCCGTCCCATTTTAAGTTTCACTTTAGCTCTTTTCACGCTCATTAAGAAAAACAATGTTTAGTATAGTGCTTATGTAGAAAATTGTGATTAAAAAAGTTGGAGTCTTTTGGGGTGTGAGTATAAGATTAGCGAAATACTCCCTCCGTCTCATTTTAAGTGTCACTTTAGCTCTTTTCACGCCCATTTAGAAAAACAATGTATAGTGTAGTGTGAAAAAGAACTATTCTTTAATGTTAAGGGTATAGTTGGAAATAATTAACTACTTTAGTCTGGAATTCCTAAAGTAACAATTCTTTTGAGCTAAAGCGACAGTTAAAATGGGACGGAGGGAGTACATATTTAGATGGTACTAATACATTCAGTTTAAGAAACCAAGGCAGACAAATTCTGTATGCTATTGAATAAAATAAGATGATAGGATTTATTTGTTTATTGAAGGAGACAGGGTTTGAATGTAATATAGCAGGAATTCCACATTACAGAGAATTTACAGCTATAGTCCTGTAAGTATTCTCTGAGCTGTTGTTGATGCACATTATAAATGAAAATCTTGTTTTTATATTGTTTTGTTAATGTTAGTCAAAGCAATATTTGTAGATAAGCTTCGAAGGTCTCTTGGGGTTTAAGCGCAAAGTGTAGTTGAAAGCGCCTTAGTGTAGAAAGGCGCAAACGTATAATGTGTGTGTGTGTATACACATATAAGCTGTCATACTTGAGTATTGCCTTGGATCTTACACGAAAGCGCTGATTAAGCTAAGCAAAGTGCCAATCCCATGTTGTACAGAGCTTCGGGGCTTAAGCGCACATTTGAGAATGTTGGTTTTTGTATGCCTCACTAT